ACGGTTCCAGCTTGCCGGTGAGCACGATGCCTCTCTGCTGGGCAGTTTCTCTCAAAAGAGGCTCGCAAGCGTGGGCAAGGGAGCGGTGGAAGCGGTTGATGTCAACGGACTTTTCAGTTGAACCAAGAGCAAACGGGGACGCACCAGGGCCAAGCACGGCCGCACCCAAGTCAAAATCAGCACCCCAATCAATGCTATCCAAAACACCAGCCACATTCGCAGCGTCACTCTCTGGGATGAACACGGGAAAAAATATTCGTACGGGGTGTCATCATAGCCATCCATGAGCTGCTCGTCGGTGAGCACACTCGTATCTCCAAGATCCATACCCGGAAAAGTACCCACACACACAAACTCGGACGCCGAGGAAGGTACTACGTCGGCAGAGCCGGCGGGCGGGACGCTCTCACTCGCAGGTACTACACTGGTGGGACCAGTGGGCGGAATACGCAACATGGACACCAATGATTCCGCGTAGCCCCCCTTTAGGGAAGGGGAACGCGCGGAGCCAACGGCGGGGGCAGAATCGGGGGCAGTTACGAATGCGGGCAAAGCAGCAGGGTCTACAACAGTCGCAGATGGGTCGTACGGCAACCACATGGCATACGCTGCAGACGCTTTTTCCTCTCTAGCAAAGAGCAGTCCATTTTGTAGGGTTGCACCACGTTCGTCGTAGAGGATTGGTTGCTTCAGAGAAACAGCATGCGTTGAGAACAAGTTGAAACTCAGGCTCTCTACAACAGACACGTCAGTGAGCTTCACACACATCGTCGTTTTCTCACCATTCTCATCCTCCTGGAAGAAACTAAGATTGAAGCTACCGATGGCTTGCACGTCTAGCAGTCGACCATCACCTACAACGACATACTTCCTATTGGCGGGGATCTCTTGTAGGTCATACATGTGTAGGCTGCTGTTGGTGAAACTGTTGCTGGCTCCTGAGTCAGCGACCCATCTCTCGCTACCAGGCGGTCTCTCACTAGACTCCACACTCAACAAAGACGAAGCCGACTCAGCAGACTCTACTCAAATTGNGGGGGGGCTGACGTGGCTGCTCGGATGACGAATCTTCGCCGGCAGGAGGTTGGTACACGTAGTGGATGCCGCCGTCAGATGAACGGCTGTCTTCGTACCCTGAGGAGTAGCTGTAGCTGTCCCCACCGCCGGCGTAGTGGGCGCACCCGGCGTCGTGGTAGCCGTCTTCGTAGTAGTAGCCGTCGTCGTAGTCGCCGTAGCCTTCGTAGTAGCCTCCATCATCGTGGGCGTAGTACACAACGTACGCCTCTCTTCTGTGGCCAGAACGCACGTGCCCCGGGCCTCTCTCTGCCCGTTCCCTCTCGGCACGCTCGTCGCTGCTGCGGCGTCCCGTGGGCCCACGACCCCCCGGGTGACGCCCCAGACGACCACCAGGCCCACGTCCATGAAGATGTCTCGGGGGGGGTGAGGCTTGGCTCCAGCCACCACCACCATGACCGGTGTGGTGCTGCTGCCCTTCTAGCCTCACCCATCGGCCGCCACCGCCGCCTGGCCCCGGCGGCGGTCTACCCCCTCGCTGGCTACCGCCGCCACCGCGACTGCCGCCGCCCGAGCGGCGTTCCGCGGCGCCCTCTCTCGAACGCGCGCGCCGCAGTTGCTGCTGGAGAAGACACTGTTCGTTGGTGTGAAGCTCGGACTGGTGGTAGCGTCAAAATCCGCCGGGTTCGTCGTTGAACACGTCACTATTTTTCTTCTCTCCGTCACGATTTTGGCCGCCAGCTGCTGCCTGACCGCCGTCTTGACCCCCGGATGCCCCCCCACTTCCCCCGCCGCGCCGGTCCATGCCGGACGCGGCGAGAGCGAGCTCCACCTCGCGCCTCTCCCCCTTGCTCCTCTCGCGCTTCATCTCCATGTGGGCGTTCCTCACCACTCACCACAGTCTCAAGGGTACGCAACGCCAGGACATCATGGGCAAGCAGTATTACTTTTTGCACGGCATACAACGAAGAGGGAAGGCCACGAGCAATGTCTTTGTTGGCATCTGTTTCATCCTTAATCGTGCCTACAGATGCGAGACGCAGGCGAAGGGCCTCTGAGCGGGCAATGTAATCCTGTGGACTCTCGGACTCTTTCATCTCCAACTCCTTCCAGTCCTGCTCCAACCTCGACTTTTCTGACTGCTTTTTCTCCTGATAGAACTCTGTCACTATTTTCCAGCCTTTTTGAGGACTCTCACACGCCAGAATCAAGCTCTGAATCGGGGGATACAAAACCTTGCTGATAAGGATATTCCACAGTTTGAAAGATTTGTCTACCACTTCATTACCAAAAAGTCTCCGAAGGTCTCCTATATTCACACCCCTTTTTCCGACCTCGACCTCGACCTCCAGTTCCAACGCATCATGCACACCCTCCTCCTGAAAGTATGAAATCATCTTACTACGAAAAATATCAAACACTATACAAATCCTGCTCATTCTTCACGCTACCAAGCCAAGGTTCTATTTCTGAGCCAGGATTGACAGGTAACGTGCCTGAGCGGGCAAAGCCCTGTTGTTCAGCGATGGCCTCAGCTGTCGCCTTGGCCGCTTGCGCCACGATGTGTGCCACGCTGCTGGGGTCATTGAAGGAAGGTGTTTTACCCTGGCTGGAGGGTGATGGCTGGCTGCCGGTCGGTGGGACTGGGTTGCCGGCTGATGGTGGTTGGGCGTAGGTGACTTCACCCTCGTTGATCCTGTTGGCTTCAAGTTCGGCTTGTACTCGTTGCTGGACGATCTCCTCCACTTTTTGTTGTAGCTCTTCCCCGCTAAGGGCGGAGCGGTCGATGCCCTCCATGGTTTATGTTGTTGTGGGAGTCTACCGATTGCGCGTGACTGCACAACCCCCGGAAGGCTACGCCCGCGCGCAGCAGCACCACCGCTTCCTCCTCGTCCTCTACTCCTTTTCCTGGCGCGCCTCCATCTTCGGGCTACCTCCACCTCTGCACGGCACAATCGGTGCCCCTAGGCAAGTCTCACCCTGACGATTTTTTTAGTAGCATAGGCGTGACGATTGGAGTAGAGTCTGCTGAGTCTGCTTCGTCTTTGCTGAGTGTGGAATCTAGTGAGAGGCCGCCTGGTAGCGAGAGATGGGTAGCTGACTCAGGAGCTAGCGAAAGTTTCACCAACAGCAGCCTTCACATGTATGACCTCTCCGCCCTTAGCGGGGAAGTCAAGTGCCGCTAGCAACTTCACCGATATGGTCTGCCTACTCGCAATCGTATTCAGGCAGAGAGGGCACCATTATACGGCCGACTCTCTCCGCGCGTGGAAGTCAAGTGCCGCTAGCAACTTCACGGATATGGTCTGCCTACTCGCAATCGTATTCAGGCAGAGAGGGCACCATTGTACGGCCGACTCTCTCCGCGCGTGGAAGTCAAGTGCCGCTAGCAACTTCACGGATATGGTCTGCCTACTCGCAATCGTATTCAGGCAGAGAGGGCACCATTGTACGGCCGACTCTCTCCGCGCGTGGAAGTCAAGTGCCGCTAGCAACTTCACGGATATGGTCTGCCTACTCGCAATCGTATTCAGGCAGAGAGGGCACCATTGTACGGCCGACTCTCTCCGCGCGTGGAAGTCAAGTGCCGCTAGCAACTTCACGGATATGGTCTGCCTACTCGCAATCGTATTCAGGCAGAGAGGGCACCATTGTACGGCCGACTCTCTCCGCGCGTGGAAGTCAAGTGCCGCTAGCAACTTCACGGATATGGTCTGCCTACTCGCAATCGTATTCAGGCAGAGAGGGCACCATTGTACGGCCGACTCTCTCCGCGCGTGGAAGTCAAGTGCCGCTAGCAACTTCACGGATATGGTCTGCCTACTCGCAATCGTATTCAGGCAGAGAGGGCACCATTGTACGGCCGACTCTCTCCGCGCGTGGAAGTCAAGTGCCGCTAGCAACTTCACGGATATGGTCTGCCGCAGACCATATCCGTGAAGTTGCTAGCGGCACTTGGCTTCCCCGCTAAGGGCGGAGAGGTCGATGCCCTCCATGATTTATGTTGTTTTGGGAGTCTACCGATTGCGCGTGACTGCATAACCCCCGGAAGACTACGCCCGCACGTAGATACCGTGATATCGTCGCACTAGTGTGAAAGGTAAACTACGCGAGGTGCAGCAAGCACGTTCTGGACGTTGCTTCGGGGCACTGGGCAGTCGGCCGTGTTAGGCCGAGAGAGAGGGGTTGAGAGAGAGTTGGAGAGAGAGTGGGAAAAGGAAGAAACTTGATTGGAGAGAGACGGTGGTGGTGGTGGAGAGAGAGGGAAGAAGCAGAACAGGAAGTGCGCAGCACGCACGCAAGCCTCATCATCGCACCGACCACGCCCCGTGACTGCGCCCGTGGTATCCTTCAACACACGAAATTTCCAACACGTATCCCCCTGGGATCCTCACGACCAGATACTGCTGCGAGTAAATCTAACACGGAATTTGAGACGTCCAAAACATAGAACATGTACGGTGTAGTGAGAGCCTCAACGTCGAGTGGGACGCCTCAACAGCAGTACCGGCCATCACTTACGGACTTGGCAGCCACATTTTTGGACTCGGTAGCCACATTTGTTCGCAAAATTTCTCAAGTTAACTGCTCACAAACATCTGTGGTGCGTTCTTGTTGCGTGGCGTGAAATGAGAGCCTGTCTTATCGAAATCGGAAAAATCTGCTTCCAGGAAAAAAAAATCAAAATCAAAAACAGATTTTCGCCGGGAGGCGAGCCTGCAGTCTTAACGGGAAAGCGATGGTCACCGAGAAAACGCCTACATGATTGGAAAACTTGATGGGGTAGGTGCAGATCATCACTCGCGCTGCACGTGCCCCCCAGCCTCGTCTTGCAGCGCGTTGCCGCTACCAAACCACCACCACAGCGGTCCTCCACGGCACGTGTCAAGTTGAGCCACCTGCCATGGCTGTCAGTCCAACCAGAAGGGCCAAGCGTGCCCATGGGCTGGCCTCCTTCACGAAGAGGGTGTCGAGCCTGTTGGATGCACTGGCCATTTTGGACAACCTCGCAGCGCTCGATGCTCCGTCGAAGAGGAGCCGCAGCACCCTGGTCGCGCGAGAGAGGCGGCCTTTCGAGACCTACATCAAGCCGATGCTGCAAGACCACACGTTCTCGATGCGCTTTCGCATGGAGTACGATGACTTCAGGGTTGGTTCTAGTAGATCACCTGCGACCTGCCCTGCAGAAGAACCAGCAGATGGGGCTGCTGCGCAACGGCGCCATCCCGGTGGAGGACCAGGTCGCGATGACGTTGCGATGGCTCGCGGGGGGGTCCATCTACGAGTGCATGGACGGCCATGTCATCGCGAGGAGTACGGCATACCACGTAACGTCGACCGTGATCAACGCCCTGAATGCCTGTCCGGAGTTGAACTGCAAGTGGCCAGAGGGTGAAGATGCTGCCAGAGCCGCCGAGCTTTTCCGCAACCGCAGCTCTATGGATGTCGTCCGGAAGTGCGTGGGAGCAACGGATGGCTTGTTTGTCCGGATGATCAAGCCGAGCGCGAAGGAGGTCGCAGAGCCCAACTTGTATTACAACGGGCACAAGAAAGGCTTCGGCATGAACTTCCAGGTGTGTATGTGCATACATGTGTAGATTGTTTCCTTGGTCGGCGGCCTATCCTGATGCCAGGTGCGTTTTGCCTGCAAAGCAGCGACGGACCTACATATGCTGCGGGGGTAGAACATCGGTTCAGTACAGCAGTAGTATTCATACATTCCTCCGGGTGCGGTTGTGCACGATACAAGCTCAAACGAAGTGTATTTTTCCACTCCCCAACGCACAGGATTCATCCATCAAAGGGTGCGCACTTTGTAGGTAGCAGTGTTGTTGAGGCGCGTCATGGGCGCATATTTTTGTGCGCAGGCTGGAATGGGCCTTAGTGCTACTTTACTACTGCTGTGATGTAAAATTTGTGGAGGCGCGTGCATGCCGTTCTCCGAACTGAGCGGGCATGTGGACGTGGCGTCCTCCTTCGATGGTTCTCTTCGAAAAAAATCGCCTTTGGTTGAGTGTTATTTCACGTACATACATGCTCATGCACACGTTGTCCTTCTACTTCAGGCGGTATGCGACGCCCAGTATCGCATCATGGCCTGGATGATGAATTGCCCAGGCAGCCAAAACGACCGCACCGCGTTCAACTTTTCGGGGTTCGACAAGCTCTTGGCGGGCTTGCCCGAAGGCCACTTTGTCGTGGGCGACGCCGCCTATGGGGCGTCCGAGCGCGTCGTCGTCCCGTTCCCGGGGACGAGCCTCTCCGCAAGCCAAGACGCGTGCAACTACTACGTGTCTCAGTGCCGGATGGCAATCGAGCAGACCTACGGCATTCTGGTGAGCGTTGTGGGCATGGCAAAAGTTGTAGTTGAGTCCGCGCATGCAATTGGGTGAGTTGGCGTCCTGATGTTAGAGGCAACTCGTGGTAAAGATCCTCGCGATGGGGGAGTGCGTGATGTCTGGTGTGATGTTGTCACAGAGCGCGGCGCATCCGTGCCACCATCTTTTCATTTTGATGTGGGCAATGCATATTCATGTTTGAAGGGAGCAACCGGGGAAGTGCATATGGACCCTACAGCAGTACTACATGTAGTGTCTTTTTTGTTATACCCCTTGTGTGCATATTGTTTTGTGTTCGACCCTCCTTCCTTCGCGCGGCGCTAGACGGCTAGGGAGAGACTGAAATCAAGTAGGACAGGTGCACACGTGCATTGCTGCTGGGATAGTTGAACCGGGAGGGTGGGACAAGGAGGCAGGCCGCCTGAATTTTGGATTTGGGCTCTGAGTTTGCCATGATGGTACGTTTTTCCCCTTTGGTCTTGGTTTGCAATGACGGCCTACAGGTCAGGAGATGGGGCATCCTCTGGCGCCCCATGGAGGTTCGCATCGAGAAGTTCGAGCACGTGGTGAACGCCGTCGTTCGCCTGCACAACTTCTGTCGGGATCGAAAGGTGGACGTCCCCACGGAGAACACGGGGTCTGCGATTCCTCCGCCCGAGGTCGCTTTTGACGACGACGGCCTCATCAGCAGCGACTACTTCGAGACCGTTCCAGTGCGTACCGGGCGCCCGGTGAAGGACCAGGCTAAGGCGTCGAAGCCGAGGGAGGCCATCCGCAAGGAGCTGGAGGTGGCCGGCTTGATGAGGCCAGAGCACAACATCGCCAGGAGCCACAAACGCGCAAGTTAGAGTGCTGTCGGAACCTTAAACTTGGCAGAGAGGGAGGGGAGGTCGAGGGCGAGAGCGGGAGTGGGGGGCAAGAGCGGGGTCGGAACCGGCGGCCGACGTGGGGTGTGTGTATCGCGGGGATCGGGGTGAGGGTCATGTGCGGTGGTGTCTGTGTGTTGTGTTGTGTTTTGTTGTGTTGTGCATGTGTGTTTTTCCCCGTGGTTTGAAGGCGGCATTGTTTGGTGGGCGTTTGTTCGTCTTGCGTTTCTTTTTTTTTCTACGTGCTGGGTTAGGATCCGACTAACACGTCCTCCCGCCATCGAAGGTGTTTTTTGTCGAAGCGGTCTACCTCGTATTCGCGGCCCATTATTGTAGTGTCTTTGGGCGTTCGACATGGGACTACCTAGCTGTCACCGTACACTGTTTCCTCGCCAAGGTTCGCTTCTGATTGAAACTGCCTTTTGGGAAGTATACGTGATTGTGGAACTGTGGATCGGGGCCAACGTGCCGTTGAATTAGCTGGCGCTTGTTTTATTGAGGATGATGTTGCCTAAGAGAGACCGTTTGAGGACGACCGTAAAAGCACTATTGGTGATTTACGAGCGTGAGCGACAAGCTCTAAAGCTCTCCCGGAGGGGGGTTCGGTCCTCGCGCACGCCCCCATGTGGTTGCATCTGTGTAACCACGCCACTCCTGCCCTTGCCCTGGTGCATTCCTCGCACAGCAGTAGTAGGCGATCAGAGTCGGCTTAGACAACGGTACAAGCAATCCCACGGAAAAAGCTGCTTCCCCAACAAACCGGGCAACCTCCAACAGAGCCGCACTGTCCCACTTCCATGCTATTCTCGGACATCAAATATCTCCGGTGTCTGTAAAAAAAAACACACACACACACACACGCTAAGAAGAGTAGCCTCTCACAGGACCTTTCCACCCAGCAGAGCACAAGCAAGGTCTCGGTGATAATATGATCCTCTAGGACGGAACTGCTGTCATTTTGACGCATCCGTCATTCCAAAACATGTCACAATGTTAAACGTCTGGAAATGATAAGAGGATCCGCAGAACCTTGAACCAAACATGAGAACAACTAAACAAATGTCCTCCTTCGAGGGAAAACCCGACGTGCGTGAAAGCATCGCAATGCCCTGTCATAATACTGTAGCTCCACTTCTTGCTGCTGTTTAGCCAAATCTGAAGGAGTCGGAGGGAGTTACAATATTTCCGGAAACACTCCGAATATTTCATCACGTGTGCGATATCTTCGCCAAAAGGGGGAAGGAGTCTCGTCGCTTGCCGCGTGAAGAATCGTTGCACCTCACACTCATAAAAAAAACATGCATCACCTCCCAATGCCATGGTTGACAGGAGTACGCGGACCTTATGAAATCAATCTGAACAAAATCATATGTGGTTGTCCGACGAGCCATGTGGGTTGTTCAACACTTGGCGAGGTCAACAGCAGTCACAAAAAGGCCTCTTTTTTCGTGCCCACGTACAGCAGTAGTTTCCACCCACCCCAGCATCAGCAAAAAAAAAAATCGGTTGGGAAAGCCAAGTCCTTGATTCCCCCGGGAAGCAACTATTTAAGTGGGAACAACCTACTGTATCAAGTAGCTACGGAGCAACTTCCAAGCGAAGTGACTCTTCGCCATGTCCGGGCAGGTATTGCCCCCCCAAGATTTCTTGCTCTGGTGCATCCCTCTCCACAAATAGAAAATGAGTAGATAATGAAAAATAACTGGTGTTTGCGCGTGGTGTTGCGTTTACTGAACGGTTCAGCCCCGCGCAACCCCCATGCCGGCAAACGCCTTTGCGTAGAACACAGATCAAAGACCCCCCCCACGTTTGAAACTTCAAAAACACAGCATCCCTCACGGCTCGGGGAGCATTCAACATGTGCGCTTACATTCTGTTCTCGTCCTGCTGTTGCCGCTCACTCCGAAACACACACGCCCCACTGCCCCTGCGCCCCCGTGTGGACTGTTACGGCAACACCCGCGCAGTCGCCCGCAGGTTTCCAGCCAGGGTGCTCCCACCAAAGACTGTATCCCCCCACCATCCATCCCCGCCTCTCGCCCGCGCAACCAGTACTCAAGCCCCACCCCCGTCGCCTGTACGCGCCAAGGCCCGTGCCATCGCCGGCAAATCATCCACGGGCGTGCGCCCCGGAAGCCCATGGAGATCCTACATCACATGGACCGTTCCTCCTTCGACCGCTGCAGGCGTAGATGGCGCAGCAGGACTCGATAACGGTGGGGGCGCGGCCGCGGCGCTCGATGATGCCATAGCCGCCTCGTCGCTGCTCTGCTCAGCCCGTGCCACTCGCGCTTCAGCGGCATCCAACAATTTCTGATATTTCTCCCGCAAAAAGTCCGATGATGCAGAATCGACCTTTGCTTGGAGCCTCTGAACATCGTCGATGAATCCCTCCATGGCAAGGTCCTTCGCTCGGTCCTTCTCTATATCACCGAAAGCAGTTTTGTCTCCCCGTTCTTCCTGCTCCGCTGCTTTGCGCCACAAGGCGATCACTTCCTTCGTGTCGGCTACCAGCTCCGCCCTGTCGTCGGAACCCGTCTTGGGTTTCTTGTGCTTGCGAGAGTTGGTGTTGCCAGAGGAACGGGCGGGTGTCGCCTCACCTCTCCCTCGGACCCCGGGTCCACCCGGCACGCTGCTGCCTGAGCCTGGGTGTCCATCGGGGAGGACGATATCGCCGGGGCGGTATGTCTTGTCGTCGCCTCCGCCGGAGAGCTCGATACCGTCCTCCCAGAGCATTGTTGGTAAAGAGCCCCGCATAAACTGGAACGGATGACGGGCGTTGACGAATCCCCCGTCCTGAGTTGCGTCCGAACCGGCCCCACCACTTCTTTGCTCGTTCTCCTTGAATTTCTGATGTGCCAAGGAGAGAGCGAAGAAACGGTCCACGTTCGTCGGAAATGGGATGGGAACAAAGCCTTGAGTCTTGAGTGGTGAAATCTGATGTCGCTAACAATCTTTTCTGCATTCCACGTGGTACTTGTGTTGGGGCGTCAACGGAAAAAGGGAACGACATACACACAATGGCGCAAGGCAGGACGGGAAAAAAACTTGTTTCACCCAAAAAAACTTGGGGGAGAAGCGCACCCCACGATGATACTGTAGGTTGAGGTCGCGAGGGCCCACAGCTTAAACCCAACACAAGAAGAAATACACGCACAAAACGAAGGATGCTCATCACTGGAATATAAAGGCAACCCGTCTACAGTGATGGTTACATCGACCTCACACCTCGCCAAATTTCTAGCTTGACTGCTGATGCACGCACAGATATCCCAAGACGAGCACTGCAGACCGACAAAATACGAAGACGTCCTGCATCCTGTTCCTGCATCCTGTGTAGCCACGGCAGGACGACGCTGCCACCTGCAGAATGAACACGAGAACACCGCTACACTCACCGTGTGCTTGCCCCGTACTTCTTTCAGCCAATTGAAACATCTCAGTTGGAGATCAGCATAAAAGGCGCCCTCATCGCCTTTGAATTCCCCCCTGAGTTCCTCCTGCAGCGACTTAGCCGCCCCCTCTAGGTCCAGCCGCTTGAGGAGAGACTTCAGATGCTCCGATGCGAGCTCGTCTTTGGAGTGATCGTTGGGTACTGAGAGGGGGTTACCGTTGCCGTCGCGCCAGGTGGGAGTCGCCATCGCCCTGGCAACCCGGGCGAAAAACCTGTGCTTCGCGCCCGTCGCCCGTACGTCCAGTTCGGTGCGCGCTGTGCCCTCCCCACCCCCCCTGAAGCACATGTAGTCGTCCTTGAACTCCGGGTGCAAAGTTAGGCACACCAGCCGACAGCATAGTGCCTGGGACGAGTTAGGTGTCGGCTGACCAGTTTGTCGACTACGCCGCAGCTGCTTCTTCTTCTCCGGCGTAACGCCGCAGCGGATGCCTTTCCACTCAGGCTCTACACCAAGACTTGCGCGCCACTTCATGCGACCCGTCAGTGCGTCGATCAACTCCTGTTTGCTTGCATTCGAAATTTGTCGAAGCTCTTGTTCAGGCAGTGGACCAAACTTCAACGCATTCCTCCGGCCAGCCTCCCGCGTGGCCTCCTGCCTCAAACTAGGGAGGGGCCAGCAGTCGAACAAAGGTGGCTCTGTACGAACCTCCTTTCCCGCGGTCGCTGTTGTATCACGAGTTGGGGATGCACGTTGCTCGTTCCCACTACTGGGCCCTCGAGGCGGGGCTGCGCCAGGCGTGGTGGAAGCCGTCGGCCTGATCGTCGCAGCCGATGGCGCTGCCGACGCGCAGCCGACGGAACAGGTGGTGATGTACTTGCCGGGGTTCCACCGCTGTGCCCTCCAAGTGAGGATTACCTAGAACCAGGCGTAGAGGACGATGACAGCGGATCTGGGGGTGGGTACACGGGTGCCGCCGCCACCGTAGTAGACAGCGGAGGCGGGGGTATAGCCCCTCGCCCTTGGAGTAGAGAAGGCGGAGGGGGAGGAGACATGGAGCCAGCCGTCACCTAGACGTGTTCAGAGTATAAGGAAAGTGAAGAGGCACGGGAAGGCGACATGTCATGGTTATCCCGTGGCGCGACAAAAACGGCCTCCAATGTTGGCTCCTCGTGAGGGTTTCATGGTAATTGGCCTTTCATTCATGTACGGGCGTGCTACCCCCCAAACACCGCCTTTTTATCCATTGCGGCGCCAACCGTTCGAAATCAACAGATGGTCGATTTCATCATGTCCATCACAAATGCGAAACAAAACACGCTGCTCCCGCCACCACCACCACCACCGACGCAAGTAACATCAAAACGCCCGCGGCAGCAGCAGCCGCGCCATGAACAACACCAGAAACGTTTGGAGGACTGCGATATCCTGTTTTGTTCCCATCCTTTCTAAGAGTCGACGCGCATGTTGATTGACTTTCCTACGAGAGGTCGACTTCCAACGATGCGCCATGTGGAAACTGGTTGTGGGTACAGGCGGAGTCTCGTGGCCGTGGACGATACTGTAGAGGGCGAAAAATACCGTGTCGCATTATGTTTTGATCATAGTTTTTTGTATCGCGTCACGGAACGTGTCCACATACTGTACAGGGGGAATATGCACACCCCGCGCCCAACGATAGCGCCTGCCGTACCCGCGCGTAACCCTACCCCCCCAAAAAAATACGGCGTGAGCTGGGGTTCCCGGCTAGCGGCAAGCGTTTCTTGCCGCTGGTGTCCTCTATCTAGCTACAGGTACTTCTGCCCTCCTACTATCCTCGCACCTGCCCTGAAAGTGCATCCAGCACGCCATCATGCTGTCCACCCGCGTCTGGAGAACACCCATCGCCATCCTCTCCACCCACTTCTACAAGCATAGGATCCTCCACTTTTCGATCCTCCTGCACGATACCACAAAAGCAACCGTGGTCGCGGCGGTGCAAGACGAGAGGTGCCAGACTAGACGCAAGTACGTGTTGCCGCGCCAAAACAACAAAGAAACCAAAGAGAAAGCATGCGTTCATGAACAACAAACCTACAGCAGCAGCACTTGTAGTCTAGCTATGCCAGGTGGAGTTCATGAAAAATCCGATCTCGAGAGCCTAGCAAACGCAAACCTTGTTTTGTATCTGTACAGCCCTTGTTTAGCACTGCTGTTGTTGGTCCTCCTCGTAAACCAGCACAACTTGCGTGTGGGGCACTGATACGGAGCGATAGCACCCCCAAAGAACTGCCCACCTGCACCATGTGGCCACCATGCTACGCACTAGAGCAAGCATTCTCGAATGGAGTGCTGCTTGCTGCTGCTGCTGCTGCTGCCGTGTAGACGGACTACATGTCCTGCTCTGTACTCTACTAATGCGGTACTGGTACTTGTAAATCTGAAGGACCACCTCGCGGACCGATGCCAAAAAAAACAA